CATATATATGTCAATAAAATTTGTTCTTCGGATGTATAATGCTAATAATGAGGGTATCATTTTTAGGCACAACAATTTTATTGTATTTTATTGTATTGTATTATTTGTAGAACAAAACAGCGCAATGATGTCTGTTTTTTGCATTTGCATGTGTTAATTTTTCTCATTATCATTCTTTTAGAGTAGTACAAATGTTGCAATGGTTGTTGAAGTACCCCCCCTCGCTATTGTACCAAATTATATAGTTCAGAATAAAATGCTACGACCTTTCCGATATCAGACAGGAGGAACAATTTTGGTATGCAAGATTTAGTGAAGTAATAACATGCTTATACTACATGTATGTAGTAAATATCCTACATATTTTAACCATTTTAAATACATATAATTAACATGTACATGTACCTTACTAGGCTGGTAAACTAGCAATGGAAAGAGGCTGGGCCATCAACATTGGTATGTTTATTGATTTATTCTAAACTTTAATTTTCAACAATGTACTTTTGAACAGGAGGGGGATTCCATCACTGTTGCAGTGGAGAAGGAGGGGGCTTTTGTGCATATGCTGACATTACTCTCTCTATTAGGGTATCAGCTTATTTTTTGTGACTTGAATATGATGCTGTATATTATTATAGTTTCTTTTTCAACGTGTTCCTGGTGTACAAAAAGTCATGATAGTAGACTTTGATGCTCATCAGGTAATTTGTTTAACTAAAAGTTCAATGCACATGCACTTTTTGTTATCATGTGTGCACATAGGGCAATGGACATGAAAGGGACTTTATGGATGATGATAAAGTGTACATTATGGACATGTACAATCGTTGGATTTATCCTAATGATATTAAAGCAAAATGTAAGTACATGACCAGAAATCAAAGCACACTTACATGTACCTCAACAAAACATTGTTTACAGAGCATCATCCTTAAGGAATTACATGCTGACCTACTGTAGTGTAATTAAGCCACCCTTTCCTGGCTTTTGTTTATTATAATAACTTGTTGTGTATTGGGCCTGAAGGCATGTGTTATTAATCCTATTTTGTAGCAATTACTGATGTAAATAAACCAGCACTGGGTACCTGTAGCCGTACATGTACATGTACATGTATAAGATACACATACATTACATTATTGTAGTAAGAGTGTTAGTGTGTCAATTTCCATGTAGTAAGATATTGTAGAATTCTTCAGATGCTATCTCTGTGTTACATGTACGTTATATGTATTTGTTTGAAGGCTCTCATGTGAGTGCCGCCTTTTTTAATTTTTTGTCAGGGCTACACCACAACCTTTGTGTTTAAAATTTTTACTGTAGTGTCTTATATTAACATCCATTAAGTTTAATAATTTTACCATTAACTTTAATGAAATTAGGCTGAATGTTAAAATGTTTAAAATTTATGGATTGCAATTATTAACATTGTAAACAATAACTCAGCATAAGGATGGACTTTATTCCTATCCTTAACTCTGGCCATTGGTTTATATTGCACTCCTTCTCACCACTTGATACTTTACATGTACATGTACCATAGATTATCTTGGCATTGTGAATCAGCCTACTATACAATGTACTTAATTCCCAAAAGATAAGATTCCTATAGCCCGTTATTTATATGCTTCCTTTATTTTGACAAGTTGACAGATATATATCGTTAGCTCACTGACAGCTAGTTTACTGTTTATTGTGTTGCAGTAAACTTCTTGACTGTTCTTTGCAGTAAACAGAACCCTAGTGAATAGAAGTAACAGATTAATTTTACATGTATAACTACAGGCACCTGTGCATGTATACTTGCCATAATATAATATGTGCAGTTTTATATCATGATCATAGTGAATACATATACATGTACATGTACTTACAACAGACTTGGGTCCAATACAAATAGTATTTGTAATTAGTCGTATTTAAATACTTTTGAAAGTATTTGTATTTGTATTTGTAATTTGATTTTTTGCAACAGGAAGTATTTGTATTTGCAATTGAAATACAGCAGGGAAGTTTTTCAAAATACAGCAAAATAATTTAAAATACTTCAATGTGAATGAAGATGCTGTTTGAGTGACAAAACTTTGAAACACTAACGTTCACTAAATACAATACATGACTATAACTAAATATTATTGATTATACATGCATGCATAATAAAAAGAGGCTTTCAATTTACTTGATTGATTAATTCATAAAACTACGTAGTTAATAACTGTCTATACTTGAGAAGGAAGTATTTGTATTTGTAATTGAAATACATGTATGCAGTATTTGTAATTGCATTTAAATACAAAGCTGAAAACAGTATTTGTATTTGTATTTTTGTTTTTGTACAGTATTTGTATTTGTATTTAAATACTTCCACATTGTATTTGACCCAAGTCTGAAGTCTTACAATGTACATGTTTTAGCATATTCACAACAGAGAAGACAAATTTACAATATTACGATAGGCCAGCATACGCTGTACCATCAAGTTTTGATTAAAAGCGTTGCAATGGCGATTTGACCTATTGACACATGCATGCTTTCCACTAGAATAGAACCAAATCCTATTCCAGCGTCAATGTGACGTCAATCCTAGTAAACCTGCCTGAACTCTACATTTTGACTGTCAATAGCATTAGTTATTCTGAAGCACTGTACATATACATGTAAGTGATGTTTGCTATCTTTACATGGATATAAACAGAATGTTTTATTTTAGTCAAGAAGAGGCTTTATTACCATTGCAGCCAGAATAATTGCCTGTCTTAAACCTTTGAATTTTTTGCATCAAAATTGCATAAATTAGGCACTCTCATTTTTTTAAAGCTGCTCCTTATCTACAATCTTCACTGAAATTTAAGAGTCCTTTTAGTGTGATGTGTTCATGACCCATTGCGATTATATGTATTATACTATTATTGTACGATTACATGTAATATCTATGGTTATAATATTGGTAGTTTTATTTTGAACCACCAAATTATCCGGCTATGCAAATTTAGGTGACCTTGTCTGTGCTTCAGCAATAAAATGATAAATAAGAGTATTTGTGTTGTACATATACATTGATGTGTCATATCTATTTTCCTAAATAGAGTTCTGTTATTACTTACATGTACACGTAGTAGTGCTGTATTTCTGGGCCCACCTAGCTTCATCCACAACCTTCATTTCATTTTAATGTGTTTATTTTATGAAGAAAATTTTATTTCATTGAGGGGATAGAGCAGTTCTGTTCTGCCACATCTAACAGACAATGCATTAATATTACTAAAATAACCATACTACTAGACAGCTATTACAAATTCACTTATATGGCAGTGGCTAGTTCCATTTAGTTGCAATTATTATTGTATGAATATAGTAATTCACATGCATGTATGTTATTTTGCAGCTGCTATAAATATGAAAATTGAATTGGATGTACATACTGGGGATGAAACATACCTCCGTCACATCAGAAGAAAACTTCCAGAAGCCCTTGATGAGTTTCATCCTGACATTGTTGTTTATAATGCTGGTACGTTGCCTGTCCAAAAGAATAACAGTTAATGTTGATATTTCATTGTATGTAAAACTTGTTGTTTACCATCCCATGATCTGTTTAAACAAAATCATACGCTCTACTTACTATTATTCATGCCTTGTTGATTGTTACATTTACTGCATATGGAAGTAGCTTTGTTATAACAGTTATATCACTTCCAAATGCGTATGGACAGAATTTTTTCTTATTTGCATTGAAGATGGTGTTGTTGTTTAACTTTAAAGTAGAACTGAAAGTGATGTTATTGTAAGCAACATGCTGTTCTTTATCAGTAAACATACATGTACATGTAATTAGGCAGACTTCAGCTAAGCCTATAATAAGAGCCTGAGATTAAACATTTTCCGACCATTGTGCTCAGTTGTCTGACCATTGTTCTGTTTTTCTGCCTTTTGTCTAAACAATATATTTTTCTATTGATAATACAGTTTTCTTTTAAAATAGTAAGACCATGCAGTTAGCATGAGAATCAATTAATCGTGTCGTACCATTTTTATAAAATTGATGGATAAAATTAAGCAATGCTCAAACACAGTGTCTGCATTGATTGAATGTATAAAGGCAGGCTGTACTTACGTTACTTACAACTCAGTGATGATTTGATATTGTATTGTTTAAAAACAGATAGCTAAATTCATCAATTATATACATGCATGTCCTATTATCGATACTACACTGTTTATTACACATATTATTAGAGGCTTTTTGATCTACGGTATTCTGATTTTTTTTAGGTACTGATGTTCTTATGGGAGATCCATTAGGGATATTAGACATCACAGATCAAGTGAATATATTTTGCATGATAACCTTATTTGTTGCGCCTCATAGGGTGTGATTCTAAGAGATGAACTGGTATTCCAAACTGTCAGAAATCGAAATATCCCAATTTTCATGGTAACTTCTGGTGGATATCAGGCATGTACTTTTTAATGTTATGTGTAGTATCATTATTTATTATTTCAATAGAGAAATAATGCTCAAGTGATTGCAGATTCTATACTCAACCTTCGTGCTAAACACCTCATTCCCCATGCAGATGATAATAATGATGATGATCCATGACGTTATTTTGACGTGTTGTCAATGAATATTTTTATTTTATTCTATTAATAGAATTTATTGCTGATTTTAAATTAGTCTATTGTTTTGGGCGCCTGCTCAGCTCTCCTGTGAAGTGGCTTGCTAACTAAACTTACTCTCTTTATTACAATGGCTTCTTTTATTATTCTTTTGGTTGCTTGTTGGGCTTTGTTCGGCCTCTGCTTGGGACAACCTAACTGTGGCTTGTTAAGTGTCCCTGCGAACCTGACCTCTCCTGTTTCTGGTAAGACTGATGTGATGCTCGTGTTAATTGTAGTATTATTATACATATTAGGTTCTAATCTTAAATATTGTCAGACAAATGAGCTGCAGTGCTGCAGTAACCAGTATTTAGTATCCGAGGCTAACACTTTACGAGATCATGAACTAATTGATGGTCTCCATGAGCAGCTTTTGAGAACTGGTGGCGAACTTACTACAATTGGTGATGGCATGCTTAACTGTGAGTTACTCGTCATAGTGTGATGCTTTTTCTTTGTTGTACAAATTTACTCTTGATTGCATTTAGTTATGTGTTGCAATGAGGTGGTTGAAAAGTCACAATTACTATTAATGTTAAACTTGACCACAATTCTTGCCTTTCACTTCGCATTTTTTATATGTAAAGTTAATTTTAGCTCTGAATTATTTGCCGGAAACTGCACTAATTCTTCAATCAAGTTCCAGCCATAATTTTTTCGTTTTAGTGATAAGACAGTTTTCTTATTGTTTTTTATTATTATTCAGCTGTTTTCCATTATGGACCTGCACTATACATTTTGCATGTAGCATTATACTATGCATTAGGACAGCCAAGGTCAAAGATTATTTCAGTTTTTTATCAACCACTATGTGTTTGTGCATAATAGGCAACAATAGTATAATTATAATACTGACAAATTTGCACTTAGAGGCATGTGACAACCCATTTTTGCAAATTTTACTCCAAAAAATTTTAAAGGTTTTGGCTAATTTAAATTTAAGTATTACATTTTGTTGTGCATCATTATCTTGCATTTCATGTGAGTTAATTGTCAATGATAATGGATATTATAACTGAACATGGAACTAGGATTTTACAATCAAAATTGTTTGAAGTGATATTTTGGAAATTGTTTTGCATTTTTTTGTCCCTATGGATTATGTATTTTTATACATACATGTACGTACTCTAACTTCATGACTATCATAGAATGTTATCATCTACCGTATAGCGGGTTTCTTCCATTCGGTCAAACTTTCGTTCTCCAAGCTCCAAACCTGCTATACGGTATTATTGTTAGTAGTGATTAAATAAATGATTTTTGATTGCTCTGATTTGAAAATATTACCATTATAGCAGTATAATGTAGAGCTACATGATTTCATCAAGTTTAATTTTGTTCTTTTCATTGTCATTCCTTGTGAAACAAATATTTCCCAAAATAAAAATGTGTTCTCCCAATGCCACAATGGCTGCTCAGAACAAAAATCCAGAAAAAAATTTAAAGCTATTTAGAGCAAACATTTACATTTTCTGTGACAAAAATACACTTATACCATATGTTGCAAATACATGTAGATGTAGTTGGTGGAAAGGTTTATCCTGTGTTGAATGTTTCTCAGTCTATAATATTTTAAAGTTTGCTTGTTGTTGACTATTGTACTAAAATGGTAACAGTGAAAATTACTCAGTATATCATGTATAATGCATCAAGATTGCATTTAGTCAATACGTATAGTACCAAATTTCTAGCTAAATGCTTTCTAAAGGCCATCATGCACTGAGCAATTTTGTTGCTGGTAACTTGTGGTCAGACCTTTGATCTGGTTTAAGGCCTTCATACATGTACATGAGGTACAATACACATCAAAAAAAGGCTAAGTAGGATACAGTAGAGTAGAGAACCTTGAAGGTAGTTCGTAGGTACTTCGCTACTACTTCGCTACTCTTAGCTACTACTTCACTACTCTTCATTACTCTTTGCTGCGTTATGCTGCGATCCCACCCAGTCACATGTACTGTAGTAGAACTTGTAGATGCTTCTTTTGGCTGTCTGTGCTCTCCAAGTTCATCTCTCTCCTTCTAGAAGCCTGTTTAGGATGTTTTTACTCCATTCTACTGTCACGCTACTGTCTTCTACTGTTGTGCTACTGTCTTCTACTGTTGCGCTACTGTCCTGCTACTGTCGCAGTAAGCATGTGCAGAGAAGGAGCAACGAACTGCCTACGCAAAAGTAGAGTAGCTACTTAGCCTTTTTTTGATATGTACTGTACATGTAGCTTGTTGCTAGCAAACAAGCAATAAGCTGCAAAAAAATAGAACATCTTTCAACATGTTGCTTCGATCAATGTCACCACAAATGTTGCTAGCAACAAGTTGCCCTTACATACATGTATGTCCATGTATGAAGGACTTTAGCAATACTGGGCAACATATTGCAGAATGTAGAAAGACTGGCAACTTTTGAAAGCAAGTTACATGTACCTACATGTCACTACATCAAAGGTACTGGCAAAAAGTTGCTCAGGTATGCTGGGCTTAAGCAATTAACATACATGTAATTTTCACTATAGGCTGTCCAAAATCCTATTTTTTGAAGGCAATAAAGACTTTCTGAAGCTATGAAGCTTAATGCAAATTTTCTTCTTAAGACAAAGAGCTTTCATAGTGTGCTAAAATCCTATATGCTTTGTTCACCCATGCTAATAAGAAGTATCAAGAGTACATAATGTTAAAATTACCTTGCATTATAATGGATTGCTTTTGTTGCTTCAAAAACACAGTGTTTCAAACTTTTAGATTTGCATGTGCACATTTACATAATTTTTAAACAGTATGCATGTACAGTACAGGTACATGTATAATACATGTATTTACAATGCATGTACATGTATGTTGTGTACATGTACATGCAGTCATGCACATGTATTAATTATTGATAATGTTTCTTTTCTACAGATGCCAAAAGAGAATTTATTCCGAATTTTATACGACGACTTAATTTTCCCTTGAATTTTTCTCTCAACACTTCTACCTATAATGAAACTCTGCAGAATGGGTTACTTTTACGCCGCAATAACAACTTTAGGCCTGCAGAGTTCACTGATTCCTTATTCAGTTCTGAAATAGAACTGATAATTACCAAAATCATTCTTCCAAGAGTTGTGAGTAATAATGGTCCTCCTAGACTCGAAAGTGAACAGTCTGACTGTGTCAGAAATGCCCTTGGGCGGTATATAAACCAAACAACAAAAGATCGTGTTGATGAGAGCCTTGAAGAATTTAGGCGTGCTATAACATCACTGAATAAAATTGTCTTGTGGTATAATCACACATTTTTGCCTAATCTTGAGACCTATTTTACTCCTCTTAATGCTTGTGTTAATGCTTTTATTCGACTTCAGTGCCAAAGATGTGTCAAGAATATTGCTCCATTGTGTCGTGGCATTTGTAGTGATGTTGCATATGGCTGCTATGGCATTATTGAAAATGGCTTTAGAGGGCAATTTAACGTATTATGGAATGTCACAAGTCAGCTGATGAATATATCAAGGTCATCAATTGCAGATATTACAAAAGTTGCTCCTTGTTATCTTATTACATCTCTAGATAACTCAGAAATATTTCGGGTAAGCTCAATAATTAATTTTTATTATGAAAATACTGCTTTTTATACTTAGCATGCTGTCGATTGTGGAATTACAATTCCAAACTTATCATCAAATCGTAAACGCCGCAACACTGATGACAACGAGAACAACAGACTTGAAGTTCCAGGAATGTTTATTCAAGCTGCCAATTCTCTTCTTGGGAGAGGATTTGTTTCTTATGGTAATTGCTGTTCTTTATCTTTCTAGCATCACTATTATTACTAACTTGTAGGAAATGATGGACCTCTTTATTGCCGTAATTACAGCAATACTAACTGCTGGAATGGAACTGCTAATGTAACAACATATACACCTCCTGCTATTAATATAACAGAGATATCTGATCCAGGTAAAAAAATTTAAAACTTGAAGAAGATATTGATGATGTTTTTGTAGTTAGTAATCCACTACTTGAAGGTGTAACCACTGCTGAAGTTCGAAGTCAAGTGTCTGCCCTTGGTATGCACTGGGATTTTATTTATTCAATGAGCAACTTTTTTTAGGTAATCCTGTGACTGATTATATTTCTGGTGATGATTTTGGAAGCACTGCTCCACAAAGCTTGGGTAATCCTGAAGATACTCCAACTCCCAGTGGAGCTGGAATTATAAGCTCCTCTGTTCTGTTGATGTTCCTTGCTATTACTTATGCTGTACTTATATTTAATTAAAAAGCTTCAAAGAGAAACTTTAAAATTATATTATTATGTGTGTTATCAACTATCCTGGTTTTTTTCATGTACTTGTACATGTAGTCTTGAGTCCAACAAGTTTAAATAATATTGTTTTCGTTACAATTAATTAAAGGTTGCTGTAACTTGGTTGCTAAAGTATTAGTTTTGACATTTGACATTATCAGTCATGTGTTCCTTGAACATTATGCACATTTTTCTTTTATACATATACGTACATGTGTCATTTTTGGGCACAGTAAAGCATCAAAAACTACAAACACATCTTTTGGGCAAATAAAGATACAGAAAGTATCCATGGATTGATAGTAGTTGAAGTGATGACATTTGGCACTGATAGCAGGAGTATTTATGATGTTTATGTTGATGGAACAGTTTGAACCTGCCACGCTATTCTAGGTCAACGCCTTATTTCATTTTCGCCTATCAATCAATTTTTATGGGTTCATGTCCATGCAGTTGATATCCGGTACGCCCACGCAACAAAAGGATGAGTGAGCTGAGCCTGTGCGTGTGTGGCGGCAGAGAAGAGGTGAAGATGGCCAGGATTTTACCTATTACACTTTTATTGTTGTTCTTGGCCATTTCCGTTGAAAGTGTCATTGACTGTCAAAAGTTAGATTTCTCTGATCCTATTTTACCAATTCCAGGTTGGTACACTATGGCCGTATTATGTCAGTTTCCTCTTTTGTGTGACTTTAGGATCAGACTTACCATATTGTTCACTTGAAGACACGGCCCAATGTTGCACTGAAAGTCACTTATTGAGAATGAAGGCTAATATCACTGAGGATCTCATTACTGGAATGCAAGAAGATCTTCATGCAACAACTAGTCTTTGGATGGATGCTTATTCTTTCAGTAAAGGTGCTTTACTTCATTACTTTACAGTACACTGTAATAAGAAAATGTTAGTAGTGTTGTCTAGTCAGGAGTGGCTTGTATGATAACAACACTACTCAATTACTGAGTGTTTTTGTGAGTAGCTGTCACTCTGTGTTGATTAGTACAACATTGCTTGCTTAATTAATGTATTAATTCTGTTATTGTGTATAATACCTAATTCTATTTGCTCCTCCGTGTCTTCCCAAACTTAATATTACTATCAATGTACTGAAGCAAACCTGCTATTGTTATTTGCAGGTGAATAAGGTGATACTTTAATTATTTCTTTGTGTTGTTTATTTTTGCGTATTGATTTATTTTTCATTGTTTACTTACGACTAAACTAAATATACGATAGTAGTGACATTTTAGCATTGTAATTAGTGAAAAACTTATGTATGCGAGAATTAAGCTCTATGTATACCCATTGGGGTCTGAAGTAAAGTATTACATTTTGGTGTGGTTCATATTTTTTTTAATTATTCTTTCTATAGCTACAATTGATGAATTTCTGTCTATTTTCATTGACATATTTCCATTTCCACATCATTTGTCACCAGTGGCATCATTCTATCTAAACAATACTGCAAAAGTAAAATTGTTCCAGCAGCTACATCCCAATTATGCCATAGATCTTATGTTTGATTTTGAGAGTTACATTACGAACATGACTGCAACACTGATTGAAATTTTTACTCAAAGTATTCCATATGAAGCTTCACAAAAACAATGCCTTCAAGATCTTATCCATAATCACGTTGACACTGACTCTATTCAGAAAACTGGTGAGGGCTTCAGAATCCTTCAATTAATATTTCAGTCGTTGAGAAAAATAGAAATGTTGCTTAATAGATTTGATGTTTTAAATACCACAGCTTACTATCCATCAGAGCAGTGTCTTGAATCAATTATAACACAGTATTGTGCTCAATGTGTACGGCTTATTCCACCTTTATGTGAAAGTACCTGCGTACAGGTATATAGTGCTTGTCAGTCACCACTGCACGAGAGTCTATTGCCACAATTTGAAGCTTTGTGGAATATCAGCCGTCAGTTAGTGTTTCTTACTCAATCACTAATGAACAACACTGTTTTGTGTCATACTGTTGAGATCCTTTCTCCAAATACACTCTTTAATTTAGTGAGTGTAATATTGCTAATTCAATGACAATTGATATAATTATATTTGTAGAGTAGTCAGTCACAACAAAGATGTGGCATAAATTTGTTAGAACTCCTTAATGGCATGAGGAGGAAGAGATCAGTTGATGCAATCCCTATCCCAAATTCACTTAAATCTGCAGTTGAAAGTATGGGATCTGTTCGAGGAGTCTTTAATTATGGTTTGTATAGTAATTATTATTTTCTCAATGATTGCATTTTATATTAGTGAGTATTCCAACTTTTTGTCAGCTACAAACTTCTGCTAATAATTGTTGGAATGGTTCGCATACTGTGAACAGTGACTCGATACTATTCTCGTCATATGACATCAAGGAACAGGCTAACAATTCTGCATACAATTATAATATTTACAATTTCTATCAACAAGTATGACAGTATTGTGACATTAATATCATAAATTATATACAATCAATAGGCAGCATTATTACAAGCTCCGATTTTACTATTTGTTACAGATGAAGACTTTATCAAAACACTTCCTAGTAATATATCAATTCCTACTATAAATTTACCCACTGCACCACCACCCACAACTCCCTCACCTACTTCTACTAGCTATAGTGTCACAACAACAAAGTAAGTGTTATTGTAGATTCATGTATATTTAATGATAAGTCTTCACTTAGATATACCACCTTGCCAACAATAATAATAACATATCCCAGTGCTGCGACTTCATGTAGTCACTCACACACTCTGTTGTTACTATTAGCTTTTCTTATTTTATTAATTTTCCCATTTGTATAATACCATATATACATTGTTTGTCATTGCGTGTGTATTAATTTTTATATTTTATTAAAATTACAAAAATGTAGGAGGCATTACAACAACTTTAATAATACCTGAAATCAAATAGAAAATAATAATTTTGAAAAAATAAACATGGGAGAGCAAAAGTACATCATAAAGAGGAAAGAGTCAACAGCAGCACTCTTGATTGTCATCCTATAAGATCTCTAAGATTCTCCAAAAACAGTAGAGTTTGCCATAGCAATAGAGGAAGAAGTAAGAAATGACGAACTAGTAGAGAAAATGGCAGTAGTTTCAAGTGACATTTGAGGATCTTGAGTAACGACAGGAGGAGAGGACAAAGGGTGAGAAGATAAAGTAGGATCATCATCCTAAATAAAACATATGCACATTAATGTAATAGCTTTCAATTATTACAGTTCACACACAAACAGGGATCTCATTGATAAACATTAATATCATTACAGTGTGTAATTTAATTTACTAACTTCCTCAGTAAGTGGTTCTGTTTTGATATTAAGTTTTGATATATCAATACCAGGACTAGCACGTAGCATGTAATCATCAACTCCACTAAATACATGAGGAGACAGAGGTGTTGTAGTTGTTGAACTAACAGGAGAACGAGCTCGTGGTGTAGTAGGACCTAATACCTTATCTGCTGCATCAGCTAATTGTTTTGTCTCAGGAGTCAGAGAAGGAGTTCGAATGCCATGAGCTCTCGCAGTTAATTCTAATTCCTAAAAATAAATAAAATTAATAATTATTACATGTACTTCATAACAGACATACACATATTGTACATGCTTATTCATTATACACACATATGTACACATACATGGCATGCACATTTTTATCTTGTGTGCTAGTAAAAGGCATGATGTGATAAAAGTTGTTCCAAATAAATTTAACATCTGTGATGACACATTCTAATCAATGCAGTGGCCATGGATAACAAATTCCATTAGAGTGACACACCTTGTAAGCCTTACCTGTACAGTCTGTATGCATACACATAAAACATTCTAGCATTCCCTAGTAGTTGCTAATAGGACTGTAGGAGTGCTACTCTTATCAAATATTTGGAGAGTGGTTAATTTACATAAAATACAGCATACTAGACAAATACATGTACATTACATGCACATGTACATTACATGCACATGTACATTTTAAATGCATACCAGATTACCTGTAAATACACACACATGCATGTATATACACATGTATACAGGTGTGCTGTAGACTTGTATATGCACATAAACAATTGTAGAGTAAAAAGTTAAAAAATACCAGCCATTAGAATATTAGAATAATTATTACTGACTCATTCAGAATCAGCCTTACCCTAGTTTACTGTACATTTACTGCAAAAGTGAATACATTTACATGTACATGTATGTAATGCATACATCTAAATGTACATGTAGAATATAGAAGTGACATCATCATGATGCCAAACAGCTTATTCAATTATAAAAACATTAGCTCATACACCAGAGATAAGCAGCTCAAAGGGAAACAACCTCAGGTACATGTACATGTACATGTAAGACACTAAAAGGGTTTGCTACTGCTCCATTGAGTACATGAATTGTGTGCCTTTGAACCTACATGTAGTTTTATTACTAAAAAGCATACAAATGCATAGTACAATGTATGAACGTTGAACAAGAAAATGTTACAATAAAGATACAGGCTGTGACTTTGTAACAAGGATGGCTCCATTAGTACATGGACATGCAAGTCAACATATGTTACATGTGCATGTACGCTCCGAATTTAGTAATATACATGTACATGTACATATATGTAACAATTCGCAACCAAACAATGTACATGTGCATATAGTCATCATTCATTAGGTTTTGGAGCCAAAATTTTATCAATAATTGACCATACTGGAATAGGAACAATAAGCAGAGGAAGAGGCAAAAATTTTTGTCAAGGAGGATAGGCATAAAGTCTATGTAGTAACAAATATGAATTCCATTCAAATTCCACAGAACCTCTTCTGGCAAGTAAAAAGGCAGGATGCACGGAACAACAACTCATACTTGCTATATACCAGTTGAACTTTTAAGTAGTGGTCTAAAGTACATAATATAAGTCAATAGCCATAAGATTAATACAGGTTCAATGTACATGTATTTAGATACTTAAATCAATCAGTAGAAATGAAATGGATAGTAGTGAGCCCAATTTATAATAACACATACATGTATATCACGTACTGTACATGCATGTATGACAGAACTTAATATAGCAAAAACCAGCAAAACAAAAAAAATAAAATTAATCACCAATAGTCACACATGTACATTGTATGTGTAGCAAAAGCAATTAAATTTATAAATGAGTGCATAGTCATAAACATATCCTTAATCCTTAATGTTCACTATAAGAAATTTTCTTAACTTCATACATGTAGTTGTAAAACTTACAATGTACATGTACATGTAGGTGCAGACTTGCATATAAATACATACATGCATGTACATGCACTTACTTGAATTCTTAATCTCATTTGTCTGTTAGTTTCTTCAAGTTGCCTTTGTTTAGCATCCTGTATCTTAAGCCTTTCAACATCTCTTTGAAGTTTGCGAATATAGTCAACACTAGCTTTAAGAATGCTACCTTTATTCTGGCGTGCTTCACTACAGGAGAAATTTAGAAAATAACATCTCACTTACAATGTACAGGCTATCGGTATCAGTACATACAGCATACAGTATAAAATTAAGACACTTACATACATGTACATGTATATTGTAGTTGATACAATCTCACAAACAATTAATGTATAAGAATAAAAATAACACAGATAGGGTGAGGAACAAAAAATTATAAATGCACGAAAAAATGCATTATGCTCTACCTTTCCGACGACGGTAGTAGCATTCCTAATTCCTTTATTCTGTCATTTATATTAAATCTTCGTCTTCTTTCAACTATAAATAAATAATACACATGTAAGCAGGGTTTCTATCAATGGATTGAATGTTATTATTATTACTATTATTATTATTATCATCATCATCATTATAAACAATATTGAAAAGAAGTGAGTGAAGCAGAAGAAGAAAAAGGGAAGAAATCTGCGCATGTACGGTGATGTACCACAAAAAAAAAGAAAAAGTACAGTATATTTTAGAAGAACACAAATATGTACATACATGCATGAAGTACTTGTATTTACTCTTCATTATGGACATATGCCTGGAAAACTTTCCAGGTCAATAACCTTTTACAAGATACATGTAGTGGAATACTTTTCATTTGCAAAAATTAAATCCACACAAAAAAGTTTTTTGGGCAGATCTGCGAAAGTTAAATGACTTCAATCCCTCAAAGTTTCGGCAATACGATATACACAATGTACATGTACACTATGTTGCTGTTGTTTTTACTATTACTTCTTTTTGGCAGTGAGCACAGGATGCTGGCTGTACTTCGTTTATGATTCATTTACATGATTTCCAGTCAACAACATAACAGCCAAAATAAAAAGGATCTTTTTACTTAAATAAAATTTTAAAAAACTGTAAACTAATAAATTTTAGCTGCATTGTGCATGTTTCCATCTATTCACTAAATTTAGTGCAACCAATTACCAAGAGTACATATAACCTAAAGAGAGTATCCAACAGCCCTATAGAAGACTGCTGCATGAGTGTGTATTTATTTAAACATACTTACCATATCATGTGATCAAGCATGTGGCAAATTTTTTTACATGTATATATATCCTCAATACGCCATACATGAACATTTCGTGGGGATTCAATTTTGCAGTTTTCACATTTTGGATTAACTACAGGTGTACATGTAAATTAAAATCCAAAAAAGCATGCTAATTATAGTATACAGATGTAAATTACATGTAGGTACAATAATTACATTAAAAATTGCAAATTTTTTATTAGCAAACACGAAATGCTGCCACATCACGAGATTTTTCACCCATTAAATACATGTGTATATACATGTATGTATAAAGGCTAAATTTCAAATTATAAATTTGCAAACATTTAAATTTCAGAATAAAGTATATACAAGTAGTACATAAAAACACTCTGTTTAGAGTACACATAACAGCACTACACATAATATACATGTATAGTAAGTTTTAAAGCAAATGCGTGAACTTACTCATGTTGTGATTGTTTTTCTTTATTCTCTCCTTTTCAAACTGTTTTATATCAATACTAGCATCTTCAAATAAAAATTAATACAATAGAAGCTATTGGTAACAATGACAACTCACTAGGATTTATACCAAAACTACAGGCTTCTCTCATTTTCTCTTCCTTAACTTCAGGAGGACATGATGATGAAATTTGCGGTACAAACATTTGATGAGAGGAAGCTGCACCACCTCCAAACATGTCAAGTAAGTTGTTACTTACAGGAAGCTAAATCAATATAAATCAAATAAATAATTATTTAATATTAAATGAAAAAGCACTCACATGTACTAGTGCATTTACAGACAATTGTACATGTACATGTACATGTACAAGCACAATATTTAATTAAAAACTGAATCAACTTAGCAAATTTGAAATTATCAAGCAGTAGCTACAATGTGTGTATAATGTTTGTAGTCTCTGCATGTACATGTAGGAGGTAATTCAATGAAATCATCAAGACAAGAACTTGATAATGGCTCAACACTCAAAGCCATTAACAATTTTGTCGGCATACATGCAGTGTATACATGCATAATGGTTTCTTTTCTACAGAATCAACCTTAAAATATCAAAAACAGTGCACATTTACTTACACACAAGCAAATGGAAGTGCCTCAATAGCTATGGTGTAGATTAATTGAAATTTAATGTACATGTACATGTGCATGTAACCAATTGCATTTACATGTACATGCATATAGTCATGTACAATATGTACAAGAAGTACTCATCATGCGTACATTTCACTTTAAAATGTACATGTACAAGTAATTTGCTTCATCATAACACAATTTTTAGGAAAAATACAGTGTATAGTAAGAACTTCAAAAACAACAAAAGACAACAATAATGTACACATGTACATTTACATGTAGGGTATTCATGTATTTTAATTATAACGGCTTACAGTTTGTGGCATCATCATTTGTTGCTCAAAAAAAGGAAGTGGAGTAAATCCCTCCAGTTTATCCTCAATACCCATAATGTCATCAATAAGAGCTTGATCCTAGAGTACAAAAAAACCATGCAATTAAAAAAATCAACATAACAGGCTTAACGGCTTACATTTTGTGACAGTGGCTGATCAGTACTCATCATGATTGGGCTTTCAGATTTAACAGGGACACCAGGTGTTGGGTGCTGTAAATAATGTTCAGTTGATGACATTGAGTGAAGTCCTGACACTGGTGCTGTGGATTGGGCTTGATGAACAGGTGAGTGATTAAAATCGCCTATAGAAATAAGTTAAAGGTACATGTGTAATAGATTTAATAATAAATTTTTTATTTGTTTGCTCACATTTAATAAAAACCAAAAGTTAACTACCCCTGATAAGACTTACTTATGTATGAAGTTTTCCATTACATACAATTTTACATACAAGTTTTCCATTAATATAATTGGTTCGATTTGATTCTAACTTCAAAAAAGCATTCCTGTACATGAACTTTACATTAACACTACATCACCATTTTGTTAATCTAAGTGTAAAAGCTCTTAATAAGACTATGTGCAAAAAGTTAAATTTTTTCATAAAGCAAGTAAAGGCAAGTTAGCCAAACTAAGGCTTCTGTTTTTAAATACTGCTTAACTTTAAGCAATTTATAATCAAATTCCAAACAACTATTCATGTCATTATGCACTAGCTACAAATTTCACATACATGTACATATTGTATAAAACTAACTTGAAACCTCTGAAAGCATTGGATCTTTCTGAACACTATATGCCTGGATTGTACGTGGACCACTATTAGCACTACCAGCACCACTACCATACACATTGTTTGATGCTGGGGCACTATGAGTTGATAAAGGTGACGATAAACCTTGAGAAGCAGACAAGTACTGATGAAGTTGATTTTGCCTAATGGACTCCACATGAAAAGGTGTCGGGTTCTGAAGTGATGAATGTACCTAAATGTACATGTACATATACGTTTAGACGCATAATAATATGTGACGATGACCAGAAATTAAATTAAAATACCTCTAAAACATTCTTTGGTACTTCAACAGTCACTTGGGGTGGCTGAGGTTTCTGGGGTATACTAACAGAGTTAGAAGACTGTGACACAATAGCATTTCTTTGTCGCCTTCTCTCTTCTTCCTCTCCTCTTCTTTCTAACTCTAGACGCTCTTTCTCTAGTTGCTGACGTAGTTTTATTCGGTTTCCATGCATAATGGAATATACTACTAAAGTAATAAATGTGACCATCACATGAATCTGAATAACAATATTCAAGCTGCAACATGTGATTGTGTGAATATGTCATCATTAACAAACAGTCTATGTATACAATTAAGTTTTATGATGGACAAAGAAAAAGACAATAATACAAATGCTCTCACATCATTCTGTAACAACACAACTTTAAAGCGAAGATATTTCATTATTACTAACATTAGCAGTGGAACAATAAGCATGCACGCAGGCACACAGCAAAGAAATCTGTAGACATTTCAAACAAAACATATTTGTGACAAAAATAGAAAATGATAAATGTGTACAATAGATTACACATATATACACTTTCAGGCCTTTAAAAGATCAACCAAAAAACCATTGAGTACAATCTAAACTCAAAGACTGTATTCTTTTAAACAACTTCATAGTGTACAGTATATGTACATGAACCAAGAACAAACTATCCTTTTGCACATTACAAGACATGAAATTAGATGAGGAACATGTACATTAGATTTGCTCATTAAACAAAACTGCATTACTACAGTACACATAAAAAAGGCTATAGTACCCTACAATAAAGAGAGCTTCGTAGGAAGTAATTTTACTTTGCTGCATTATGACTAGAAAGTAAGAAGGTCATACCCAGTCACATGTGCTGTATTAGTGAGGGCTCACACCCTCAAAAACCAGTCAAACAACTATCGGATGCTTATCTCGGCTGTCTCTACCATCCAGGTTTATCTGCATCTCCTTTTAGAAGCCCATTTAGGACGTTATTCACTCCCTTCTACTGTCGAGCTACAGTCTTATTGTGGGCTACTATAGTACTGTCGCAATGCGCATGTGCAACAAAGTAGCAACAAGTAACCACATTCTGTGATATGTACTATATACATGTACATAAAAATGTATTTAAACTAAACAAATGTTGTAAGTAATTAGTACTCAATCTCTCTCCGAACACGTACACACATATATATATACCTATATTTTAAATTCACTAAGACCAAGAGCATTCAAAAACACATCAAAACTGTATGCCTTATTAATTAACAAACAATATGCCACACCCCTTTACACACCATGGAAACATGTGAAGCTTTTAAAACCTCTTCAAAGCAAACTGCATTATTCATGTTTAAAGATGCATGCTAAACTTAATGACCTCAAACTATTATAAAAGTACTGTGAGTAGCAAGAATGAAACTCAATAGAATAGCCTTTGCCCATACAGATTAACTACGTCAAACTTAAAATCTTAATCTAACCTTACACAAAAATAGTGACAAAATTAAAAGGCTAAAAATCTCACCCAATCAAAAGGATCCCTAAAGGTCTCAATAACACCAATGGCAGAGTACCAGCACTCTGAGATTACTGCCCTTATTAGTTAGCGAAAAAGAAATAGAATGACGTCATTAAATACAGTTGATCACGTGATATGAATTCACTATCACGTGACACAACTTGTGCGTTGGCGTGTGAATGAAGTACAGTACGAATTGAACAATGGCCGAGCCACAGGGTCATTCCAGCTCAGCTCTACCTAACGAGTACAAGGTGATCTTGATAGGAGCTGTAGGAGTTGGGAAGACTAGCCTTTTGATGAGATATGTTCACAATGAATTTCAAGAGACGCCTAATAAGTTTGTCTCTGAAGAAAAGAAAACTATTACCATCAATGGGAAAGAGATTGTACTGTATCTTTGGGATACTGCAGGTTAGCTGGATTTGTAAATTCTATTTAATAGTTATGCATGCTGTTACTTAGCACTACTTGTGAAGACAAAGTTAATACTAATGGGGTTACAACTTGCATTTAATTTTAATATTGTCAAAGGCTATTACTCTATAGTAGTAAGAAAACATCTGGCAATTTGTGGTAAATAGGGTTAAGTTATTGGTTCAAATGGCGAAAGCTGAAAGTTAGAGATGTGCAAGTTTTCATTGTTTGTGTTATTTGTGTTATTCAATTTACCAGTGTATTTGTCCTTTGCAGACTTTTAATGTACATTGACCACCTTGTAGTAAAACATGCAACCTAATATTACCTGATAGACTAGAAGTAAAGAGCTTGTAAGGTACATGTACTATTATTTCAAAATCACGAGTTAGACCTTTTCTGTTGCTAAAAGCTGACAACAGTACCCATTGCATGCAGTTATGATTAGTGTGCTCTATATGGATATGTGTCACCTTCCTTTGTGATGTCGTACACTTTTTATACATTATGTACACATTTATGCTATACCAATACTATAATGTTTACTTAACAATTGTGATTCATCAGAATGTCACAACTATAAAGATTTGTTTTATTTTTGATGTTTCATAACATACAACCTGTAGTTTATGTTAAATTTATTGGTTTTTTATTTTGCACCTAATGACATGCATCTGCAATTTGGTATCTTTATTTTAATTGATGTTAAATGTATACACATGAGGTGTAAACTTTCTTGTATAGATAATATTTAAAAAAATTTTTTTAAGTTCAGTTATCTTTCATTCAAATTTAGGACATTGTAAATAGACCTTCTGTTTCAGGTACATATAGATAATAAACTTTAGACTGAGTAAACAGATGTCAAATTCTTGTTTTTTGAATTTTAGTTGTCTCTTTTTTACTTTGATCCTGGTAGTTGTATTGAGACAATGGAGTCTTCATTTAGATAATTATGTCATTGAAATAGGTAAAAATTCTTTTGGTATAGCATACTTACTCTACATGTACATGTATGTGCGTGTGAGTAATACATGAGTACTAGTTTCTATTGGTTACCTTTGATACTATGTACATGTATGTATAGAAAAGTATGTTTTGAGTGCATTGTGTATCAGAATTTGTAAGCAATTTCATTGTATGCAAGCATGCAATCAAGATTTTAAAATAAGAATGTTATACATGTACCGTACATGTACCTGTACTTTGTACATGTATAGAGTACTCACCTGAAACCAAGTTGTACAATTAAGGCTTGTTAGAAGTTCAAACTTCAGTATTAAATAGAATTTTCAATGTACATGTACATGTAATTATTTGAAAGCTACATGTACATGTATTCCTTAAATTTGTTTTCAAACTATCAAAGGCACAAGTACATGTTCCTACCCTTGTGTTTTAATCCTGGTTAGGATATAAACATTATAAGAACTAATTAAGCCATTTAAAGTAGATATCTATGTACATGTCATGTGCATGTACATAGTAATGTGGTATAGTATGGTTTTACGGTATGTGGTACTCAATACTGGCCCAGCTACATGTATTACATACACATGCATGTACAGTGAACAGTAACAGTAATTCTTTTAATTTTTTTAATGGATATACATGTACTTTACTTTTTGTACTACATACATGTATATATGTTTATATGTTTGCATCTACAAATTTTTAGCAAATGAAATAAAAATTTGGAGCATATATGATGTTCAATGTAGCTACAGTACATGTACATGTGTTTGTATAACATTGACGTCTTTGAAATACAATTTAGAATATGATTGCTCTTGTATTGTAGTGAGGAGGACCCAAAGGTTCAATGCTTCAAGCCACCTTGATCTGTCTCTGTTAGATTACCTCACCACTGTCTATTTTTTATTTGAAACTCAAGCATTATGTACATGTACCTGACAAAAAGGACCTTTGTCTTGAAAAGATAATTATTGTCTCTAGTTATAGCTTTAGCTAGTTATTTGAATAATGCAGTACACTTTCCATAGTTTGCCTCTGAATTAAAAATAGTATAGGCAATTGAAATACAATGTACACGTATGAATGTTATTGTGGTAATTTAAATTTTGCTATACCCTATATACATGTAGATACAGAGCCTGAAAATAAATTTAGAAATCATGCATGTGTATAATTATACCTACATGTACTAAAGTTATATTTTAGTCAATTAGATACTGAAAGTATAGAGCTTAAATAATTTTTTGGTGATACAATTAATTAAGTTAAATTCTTACCAGATAACCTTTTTTTGACATGAAAATATTTTTGTATGGCCTTAAAATGATGAAAATATTTCAATCGAAAATTTTTGAACAACCAAAATTTGTGACGTAATTCATCAAAGAAAGACTAAAGTACAGCCTGATAAGTAGGTATCACATTGCAGTTCTAACCTTGCTCTATCCATTGGTGTTTGCAGTATTTCAATCTGTCGTTTCATTACTGAGTTATAAAACAAAACGGTCCACTATGTGGCAAAAGTAGCAATTTAATGTTTTCATTTATTATCCGTTTATTATCCTTAAGTTGGTCATTGCTTGCATCTCCAGTACTATCCGTATGCTAGTAATGTTGGGGAACAGCCAGGTCAAGAAGCTTATATCTCAGGAACTGTAAATACTACTATAGCTGCCTTGTTACCAGTAGGTAAAGGACAAGGTACATGTACATGTATATGCAAGAGAAGCTAAAAAATTTTTCATATACTATGAAAAGACAAAAATATTTCGACTTGAATTTTGTTGAAATGAAAAAATTTTGTACGAAAAAAAGCAAATTATGGTATGCATGTACATGTGCATGCAAAGTCATGCACAACAGGAAGATAACATGTACTGTATTTATTATGTCAAAGGGTGCTAATGAATCATTGACTGCTTGTACTGGTGTGCATTTTTATTGCTTCTTATTGACTTTATGGTTATCATGGCTATCCTATTTCATGTTGTTCTGGGCTTTAGTACATGTACCTCTATCACTGGGCTGAGAAGAGAGTTGAATCAATGTATAATAATGTGGGTGATGGTACATTTACATGTACATTTAGCTACACGAATGGGCTCTACCTGTACACTTGAGTTCAATTTTTTATTTTGAGTACTTCATAATTACACACGTGTGCAAAAGGAATAAAAATAAGAATGAATTATTAATTTTATAATTTTGGTCTTGTGATTCTGTTGTTGGTACAATGAAGTACATGTACATGTACATGTAGGCAAGATGCTAAGCAATTAATGTGTATGTAGTTTTGCCTTCTCATGGAAGTCACTTGATTTCACTCACCTCTGAGGGCACAGCATACATTTTTTGCAATGAAATGTGTTAATTGCAGCAGTTGGCACTTGACTTGATTTCTGTTTGAACCTTGTTATTCCAAATATTAAAGAGCTGTTTCTTTACTTTGGTTGACAGTAAACAACAAAAGCATGCACAGTCTTCCAAATATTGTACATGTACTAATATATCAGTAGCAGTTAGTACTTGTATTTTAATTTTTTGATTTGTGGCTAGTACACACACCTATACCTATTTCACCTTTAATAGTGCAGGGAAATTAAGGAAGGAATTACACACAAATGTAGTAGTTGTGCTTCCTGTATTTTGTGAAAAGGGCATTCTAATTAAATTTCTTTTAATGTCTGCACCTGCTTGCATTGACAGTTAAATCTTAATTTTCTATACTTTACTCATCAAGTTGCAATAAAATTTAGATTTCAATGAAATTAATGAAGCCATCTGCTGAAGTATAAGTAAAACTTGTCAAGTTTCTTAATTAAATTTTTTTACATTGTACATGTTCATTTTGTCCATTTACATGCATGTGTACTTCCTAGTTTACTACTTACAATGTAATTTTTTTCGCATTGTCAATGAGACTATGACTCCAACTGCACTTTTTATTTTTATACTTCGGTATAACGTTTTGTAAGATTTGTAGTTAGAGCAATGCAGAGGTAGTTATATACACAGTGTACATGTCTGTGCCTTTGTTTTGACATTTAGTGTATAGTTTTAAACTTAATTTTGTTGTACAGTATGTTTAATTATCACAGCTTCTACCATGATTTTAGTAATCCAATTCACCTTTACATAAAATTTTTAACTTACCCATTCATATACTGTACATAATACATGCATGTAGAAGTCATGCACAATATATTCTGTATAGTATCCTCTCCTATTGGACTATGTCCTACTGGATCATAGTCCCTAGCCATGGAAGGTAAGGGCTCTGCATTTCTTAATGCATGTTTGTCAGAACTCTGCTTATTTAAATGGGTTTTTGACTGAGCAATACGTACATGTACATATACATACATTTGAGGGAAGATATTACGTAGCTAGCAGTTATGTAGCAATGATTTGAAACTTTGAAGGGGCTGAAGGGCAACATAAAAGACATGTGGATATGTACTGTCATACGTGCTCTTGACAGGTGTTACATGCCTAATTCCTGTCATATTTTATTGCTACATGTATATTAAGTCACACTATGCTATTTCAAATACATGTACATGTACATGAAGTTTCAGGCTACTAATAACCTGTAAATGAAAGACAGACAGACCGAGTAGCTAGTCTTCACCTACATGTATGCAAAGCTGGATGAGGCCAATAACTTATAGTTAATCCATGTAATGGTATTTCTTATTGTCTATCTACCGAAAGTTGTGGGTCTAAACCTTTCTGCTAAAATGTTAGGGGGGGGGCTCTAGCCCTCCTTACCCCCTTTTCTACACCTACATGTACATGTATTTGTGTACATTTATACTGTAATACTAAAGTGCTACATTTACATGTACATTGTATATTTTGTATTCACTACCCTATAAGTGGTATTTTTCGAGGGGATAAATTTCTGTAGATTTTGCGAAACGAGGGGTCATTTGCGAAATTAAAACATGCAAAAATATTTTAACTCTCAAAATTATTACAAAATGGTGGTACTTCAAAACAATTAATGAAATCCTGCAAATTCATCATTTGCAAAAATTTATCCCCTCAAAAATTTCCATGTATAGGGTATTTTTGTCACATTGTATACATTATGTCAGTTTCAATTTTGTTTTTTTTGATCTACAAATGTTTAATCTAATGTGTGATGGTGTGTGCACAAAACATTGGTGTCTCAGCCCATTGACTCCTGCAATTGTTTATACTAGGTCAGGACAGATACCGTACACTAACACGTCGCTACTATGAAAATACTGATGCTGTAATGGTAGTGTATAGTTCTGTTGAGGAAGAAAGCTTTCGAGAAATTCAGGACTACTGGTTTCAAGAGCTGCAACATTACTTAAAATATGACGATGAGTCTGTTCCGATTTTATTAGTGGCTAATAAATCGGATTTAATATCTCCTGATGTTGATACCGTTCATTTTGGCACTGCCAAAGAGTTAGCTTTGCAGAAAGGGTTACTGCACCCTATTGAATGCAGTGCTAAAACTGGACACAATGTTAAACAAGCATTTCATGTAATAGCAACTGCATTATTTAAGAAGAGTCAACCATCAAGGAAACCTAATGTGTCAAGCGTGACAAGACGTCAATGCTCTTGCATGAACAGAAGTAGTGACCAGAAATCTGAGAGATTACATGTTGACAATAACTAGACTCACTAGTTTGTGTGTGTTTGTTATGATGTTTTGCCTTATAAATTAAATGCTTATGAGTCTTGAATTGGTTTATTATTCTAATTAAACACACACTATTGTTATTACTGAAATAGTTACGGTTATTGTTCTTTCTTGTAAATTTGATTTCAACGTTATTTAAATTCAGTTTTATTTTATAGGTCTTGAAAGGTATCAATCCATAACTCAGCGATTTTATAGTGACGCCAGTGCTATCATGATTGTGTATGATATAACTGATGCAGAATCATACAATGAAGCTACAAAGAACTGGTTTATGGAAGCTACCACTTATTCGAATCCCAACATTGATGTCCCTATTATGTTAGTCGGTAATAAAATAGATTTGGATGAAGATCGGGTTATACCACTTAGAAATGCTAAAGATTTCTGTAATAAGCATAATTTACTGACCCCGATAGAATGCAGCGCAAAAGTTGATAGAGGAAAAGTTGTCAGTAAAGCATTCGAAGAGCTAGGCAGACAAATATTAATTAGAAATCTCAAGCCCAAAGGCCACGCAGTTCATGTCACTCGCACTACAAGTAGTTGTGGCAATTGCCAACTTCTTTAAATTAATAATAATTCTTTGAACTGTAATAAACACATTCATATCTTACTTTTATTGTTTTTGATATTAATTCAATTTTACTCATTGGCATATTTTACAGTTTGATGGTACATAAGTGTCATAATGGTTTGATATTCCTAAGGTGTTTCTGCTGACCAATTCCTCGGCTATTCGATTGAATGCCTTGTCAACATTTTTGCCTGACACAGCACTGCATTCATAGGGCCCTAGCATTCTGTCATATTCTTTTTTAAGATCAAGTACATCTTGCTTCTTAACTAACTTTTGTTCGTCGTCACCTATAGATTTGGCTAGGTCAGCCTTTGTTCCGATTAGCATGATAGGCAGATGATGATCAGCGTCATCACCAAATTGTACTGCTATTTCTTTTATCCAATACTGCTTTATTTCAACAAATGATTTGCGGTCAGTCATGTCATACACTATAATAATAGCATGTGCTCCAGCATAATATGACGGAGAAATGGTTCGAAAGCGTTCCTGCCCTATAGTAGTTTTATTAAATAATGGGTTAATAATATAAACTTTATGATTATAGATTTTGAATTTTACCTGCTGTATCCCAAATTTCTAGTTCAATGTCATTTTCTTTTACTGTAATCCTTTTTTGCACCACATCTATAATACCACTTCCAAAGTCTTTATGTAGGAAACGCCACAGTAAGGCTGTTTTTCCTGCTCCAAAATTACCTACTATAACCACTTTGTAGGTCTCTGGAAAGAAATGTTTTGGTGGCACCTGGAAACTATACCGATCAACGCTGAGTTGCATGATGAGGAGAGTAGTTGATACGAATGATTTTTACTCAAGCCTTTTATAGGACCAGTCTTATCAAACAGAATGACTCAGCTATAGCGATAAAAATGATACCCATACCACTTTCCCTTACAACAAGTACAGACCCATAGTTTTCACTTTCATGTTTACTGTGCATTTGCATCTGTGTATATGATTGGACCACTTGTTGTTGACAATAGATAAAATGATAAACTGAAGTGTAATAATACCAACACAGCTTAAGCTTTGGGTAATGATAACACCAAAAATAAAAAAATAATGTTTATTGAGTTAAAGTTTAAGTTAAAAGTTGCTTAACACTTGCAGTCATAATTTTGAGTGCTATTGACATGAGTTTTTGATAAATGTTTATTTCTAACTGCTGGTTCCAAATCTCGACGTACTATCTCCTCTCCAAGGACTTGAAACAATTTTTCAACATTCTTACCAGTTTTAGAGCTGCATTCTATTGGCCCAAGAATATGCGAATGACGTTGCTTCATATCTTCAATGACATCTTTTCGCCTGACACGAATTTGTAGTTCATCATACTTGTCAATGAGGTCACTTTTACTTCCAACCAGTAATATTGGAATACGCTGGTCTGCATCCTCACCAAACTGAGCACACACCATTCCAATCCATGATTCTTTTACTTCTATGTACGTAGCAGGATCTGTTATATCATATAGGATAATAACTGCATTGGCGTCTCTCAAGTATTGTGGGGATAAAGTGCAATATGTTTCTAGTCCTATAAGAGATTTATGTAAAAAAAACAAATATTAGTGAATTTTTATTTACTGGCTGTATCCCATAGCTCCAATTCCAAATCCTTCCCATTGACATTGACTTTCTTTGTTTCCTTGTCAATAATTGTTCCCCTGAGGTCTTCCTTAAACTCATTGTAAAGATAGCGCCATAGCAAGCTTGTTTTTCCAACACCACAGCGACCAATGATCATGATTTTGTACATATGTGGAAATATGGACAGAGGAGCGTCACTTACTCCAATCACATTCATGCCAGACATGTAGCCTCTCAGCTTCCTAACAGTCCGTTGCCTTTTGCTTTGACTTGTGTCTCTTTCGTCAAACGATCGAAACTGAAAGCTCTTCCGCCGAGATAAACAAAGAAATCCCAGTGAGCCCAGCCCTCTTGTGGTATAGATCGATAAAAAAAACAGGACAAATAGCTAAAGTGCATTCAAGCATTCCAAGGCTCCCATAGTAGATCTAGATTATTAGAATGGACTGCACCAAACCATAGTGTCTTTCATGGGAAAAGTGGACTCGTAATGACTGGAAGATCTGCAGCCAGACACAAAGCAACATTATTGACAAAGACAACTTTAGAATTGAACATGATGAAATCTTGCAGTAGACTACTCAAACCCTAATATTAGCTGTGGCCTGCAGCCATTATAGCTGCAATTCCAGCCCCACCCAAAATTCATATTCTGACACGCCTACTTGTTGCTATCATGTCTCTACAATGTCAGAAGTGCTCTTACCTTCGTGAGTTTGAAGCAATTGTGTTATCCTGTAAACCAACCGTACTGAACCAATTGAATTGTTATGAAGTTTTACTGAACGATACTATACTGTTTCCAGCTGGAGGAGGACAGGTTTGTAGTATATTAGATGTACATATATTGTTAATGCCATTTTAAACTTGTAGCCTAGTGATCATGGACAGGTTTGATGTAGTCTACATACTACTGTGAGTAATGTTGTTGTATAGATAGCTGGATTTGATGTGATAAATGTTGAAAGAAGAGGAGATTGTTCTGCCGTACATTATATTATGGAGCCTGTAATGGCTGGACAACATGTTACCCTTTGTGTTGATTGGGCTAGAAGATTTGATCACATGCAACAGCACTCTGGTAAATAATCTTTTTCCTCACTATTGTATGGTGAATGAATTAGAGGGTGATATAGTACATGTTGAGGGTTTACGTTTATTTAGTCTTGCATGGTCAGACTCCTCCCTTTTTGATGAATGAACATTTGTTAAAAGGGAGAATGCTTGGTCTTGCCATACAAGACTGCATAAAAGTAAGACAAATACCTGCAAAGCCAATTTTTGTCTCAGGATTTTGTTTTAAAAAATGTTATTCGGGTTAATTTGATTAAATTTATGCACAATGTCCACAAAAGTTGAATAAACCTTCTAATTTATACAAGATTATGTGTAGCTTTATTTTTGCATTTTACAATCTTTCTTTTTGACAAATTCATGTACATAACATGCTATGTAAATACAGAACATGAAAGCAGAGAGGTATATAGTACATACATCTGTACATATATGTAGGAAACATACAGTAGATAAACATTAATTTTGGTACATGATGCAATGTTGACTTTTAATCCATGTCTTTTTGTCTGCAAATAAATCATTTCTTTTATATTATTTTTTCTGCTTTTTTTGATTACTTGTAGGTCAGCACCTTATTACAGCCATTGCTGATCAAATGTATCACTATAAAACAACGTCTTGGTAAATTTAATGGTTGATTTCACTTTTACTGTACAATTGAATAACAGGAATTTAGCAACTGGCATTGACGGGAAGTGTTTTATTGAATTATCAAGCCCCAGCATTACTGATGAAGAATTACAGTCAATTGAAGACAAGTGTAATGAATGCATACGGAACAGAATAGCAATGAGAGCAAGATGGCTGGACCCTGACTCTGATGAACTGAAAACTGTAAGGTTTTATTTTGAATTATAATTTGATTATATTCATTGTTTAGATCAGAACAAGAGGATTACCTGATGATGTTGCTGGTCCAGTACGGGTTATTGATATTGAAGGTACTTATTATAAGGCTTTTCTAAGTATATTTTTTTGTTTTACGTATGCTGTAGTAAAATTAGTCATAAATCATAATTAGAAATATGTTGTTTATACAGTCCCTTCCTTACCTACATGTATAATGACAAATACGTAATGATTAATTTTAATGGTTAGACTGCTGCAGATGGATGATTTGCCCATTGTCAATATTTTTAATCAAAATGACCCTTAATTATACTACGTGGAATTATGAGCTTCATGGGTAGAGACAAAGTCAAATTTTTAATATTTGATTCAGTATGTTTTTGTGATACATTTACACACAGGTACATGTACATGTACATGTACATAAGAAAAGCTATAATTCATAATTCTAGTTAAATGACATGCAAAAGAAAAAATTCTTTTACTACCGTATAGTGTTTTTTCCAAAAATAATAATTTTCGCGAATGACCCGTATCTAGAAGTTTGTGGAATTAATTTTTGCAAATTTACATATCCTGCCATCTTGTACCATATTAAATTGGTTTTCATGGAATTTAATTTCACGAATGTTGAAAAATTTGCCAAATTCGTTAAATTTGTTATCCTCGAAAGACACCGCTATACGGTATGAGGTACATGCACATGTACTTTTGAATATTTTTTAGATATTGCCTTTTAATAATTTTTGTCAGACGTGCTTCTGTGAAATATAACATTTTTGTTATTATTACAAATTCATGATTTTAGGTATTGATTCCAATATGTGTTGTGGTACCCATGTCAATAATTTAAGTGATATACAAGCAATTAAATTATTGTATGCTGAACAAAAGAAGGGGAATACTATAGTGTATTATATTGCTGGTAACAGAGTATTTCATTATCTTGGGAAAACTGTTCTACATGAAAAGAAATTGACCAAGTTGTTGTGGTATGTACATGTACATGTGCATGCATGATTTCTGGTACTTTATTGTTACTTAATACTTATGCACTGTAGTACTGGAACAACTGAACATTGTGATTCTGTTGAAAGGATATTGAAGATACAAAAACAACAAAATAAAGTTTGTTTCTCTATTATCATTTGTCATTATTGGCTTATTGATCACTAGATAATACGAACACAATTAAGGGAATTGGCTAAACTGTTGTCTTTTCAGCATTTACACAATGAGCCAGTTGATCCATTAGCTATCATACATAGAGATGATGGTGATAATGAATTTATGAATATAATTGCTTCTGAATTGACGAAAAAAGTATTATTATTATTAATTTAATGTTATTAGGTATTATTTTAGGATATACTAGTGTTTGTTACTGTGGGTGACAATAAAACTAATGGACAGTTCTTATTAGCCAGTAATAATGAGACACTGATTAATGACTTAGGACCAAAGTAATGTATTGTTTATAGAGTTACAGTCAAACCTCTCTAAAACGAACCCCCAATTAGTGGACACCTCTCTATAACATACAGTTGCTCTTGTCCCGGCCATAAGGCCATTGGGTAGTGTATAAAAGAACCTCTGTATAGCGGAACCTCTCTATTCTGTATAACAGACGAGATTTACTGTCCCTACACATCTACACATGTACAAATTAACCTCCAATGGACAGACATGGCCCACACAACAGACTTTCTAATTAATACGCATCAAAAAATGGCGGATTTTCTGGTCTGATTAGCATGGAATAACCTCCGATTTAAGGACAACTCCGTATAAAGGACAGTGATGGCTGGGCCATATGTGTCCGTCTTAGAGAGGTTTGACTGTATATTTTAATTATTGTAACGATAACTCTACAAAAGTTTAAATGCATGAAAGTCCTAAAGTTTATTCACTTTCACCTGACCCCTGGCTTTTTTCAATTAATAAATAACTATGTCACATTCGCATTCTTTACGTATTTATGGTTTTGGAATTGTTTTGTTGCTGGGAGGCCATGGCAGATCAGTAGCAGCTGAATTTATTCTGGCTGTTGTAGCTGCAAATTGTGGTCAAAGGTAATGTCATTGAGTTTATACAGGGACATCCAAAGAAAGGCTAAGGCCTTATCATTTTGACCTGATCTTTTTTCTAAAGGATGGGAAGGACCTAACGATTCTAATGGTGCAAAAAAATCTAAATTCCATGTTTATCAAAAGTTATAACAAAAATCAATAGGTCAGGTGAAACTGAACAGACTTAGTTCCATCCACAAAAATTTCAGCTAAAATGTTATTCTTACTAATCTTCAATTTGAATGCAAATAGTGTTATATGCTATTTTCATTATTCTACATGTATATAGTGGGAAAATTTGCCAGAGCTTAAAGGATAACTGCAATGTATTTTTGGGTATTTACATGTATTTTATGGTCTTATGTGATTACCTGACCATAATAATAATGTTTTCCAACTCCAACTGTCCTAAAAAATTATTCATTGAGATACAGTACATGTATGAGCCTTCGAAGTCATGAAAAATTTTGACATATTGCTTCCTTTCAATTTACTTCCTGTCGGTGGGTGTGGCTAAACATGACAATAGTAGGAATGGTTGCAGAAATTTAAAGTTTGGGATCATTAGCTTTCTTATTTTAAGTATGCAGCTGCAAGAAAAAGTCAAAATTCCACTAGTATGTAAATGTTCTTATTTCTCATTCTGTATCATTTTCTTGCAGTTGCATGCTTAGAATAATGAAAACTAATGATTTTAATGTTTAAATTTGTGTTATTACATTACAAGGCATGAGAATCAAGGATCATTTCCCCGTATAAAGGAATGGAGTTATCTGCAATTATTTCTACTTCTACGTTTAATGACATCATGTTTAGCCATACCGACAGGAAGTAAATTGGAAGGAAACAAAAAAAGCAATTTTTGAAAGCTCATAACTCAGTGAACAATTTTTTCAGGACAATGGGAGTTGGAACACATTATTATTATGGTCAGGTGATCTCATTAAGACCATAAAATAAATACCCAAAAAAATATATTGCAGTTACCCTTTAATATTGGTGATTTTATGATTGCAATGTATTGATAAGTCACTTGTCATTGAGCATGCTGAGCCTCAGAATGAAGCAGAATGTTGGATTTTATTTTTGTCATTTAATCTCCCTGTCACCAATAAAAAACTTGGCCAATTTTTTCTGCTATAATTTGTTATTATTTATTTTTATTTTTATTGCACAACAGAGTAACAGACCTGCTTGATGGTAAAGGAGGAGGAAGGAAGGGAAGATATCAAGGTAAAGTAAACAACATGTCTAGACGATCTGATGTAGCAACCTTATTAAGGGAGGCAATACAACAAAAATAAATTATTGTGATGCCTTTTCTTTGATTATAATTTTGATGCCTTTACTTCATTGGATTAACTATATATGCTTCACATAAAATGAACTATAAAATTACTTATATTATTGTAATTACTTGTATTATTGTTTAAATTTTTTTACTTGTATTATTGTTTAAATTTTTTCATGAAAACTTTTTGTTACAGTGTAGTCATAAACATTTAACTTTAACAGTACAACATACCGTAAATCAGGAAATTTATGCAGTAAAAACTTTTAGAGATGTACCGATATGGGTTTTAACCGATATTCCGATATTGACATAGTCAATACTGTCCGATACCGATACCGATCCAATATTTTCCTTCCTACCTTTTAGGCACAGATTTATGCATGTAAAATGTGATTTATACACTTCCCAATTTAGTATCTTGACTAATTTTTAAGTAGTCGCAGTTATAGAATCATTTTGACATTTATTGTATCACATAATTGTCTTATAATTGATTAATTAACCCTTTATTCTCATGCATATGGCCATGTGTTCCTATATCTACAAGATGTATGCAAAGAAACTGATAACCGATACTATAAAAAGCAGGCCGATAAGCCGATATCCCGATCCGATTATCGGGACATCTCTAAAAACTTTTGGTGTTTTGAAATTGTAATGTGATTCAGCAGCATGTAATTATAGTGATTGTCACAGTAAAAATTTTCAGATGGATGGTAATTGAAAAGAACTTTAATCATTGTGCTGTAATCAACTTGGGTATAATGCTGAAACCATTTTTATTAATGAAACATTTTAAATAAACAGTCAAAGTTAAATTTAAATGGGTATGTTCAATTGTTTTACCAAAGAATAATAAGTATCTGTTATACCTACATGTAGAATAAGTAACAGATGTACCCAAGTTAATGCCTAAAAGATTATCTAGTTAATTGTTTCAACTAATTTAAAGACTACATAAAATATAAATTCTTTTTAGCCATATTCACTACTGGTATCGATCCCAACTTTTGTTCTCTCCTCTGTTTGTAAAAATTACCTTTGCACTCTTCAAGATGATTCTGAAGGAGCATTTTGCCTCTAGATGTTGGAGGATAGAATCCAACAATCTCTATGTATTCAAGTGAAGAATGAAGAAAGACAGCTTCACAAAATTGTTTTGCCGGCTCATCCCAATTTGGTTTAGCTGAATCATTAAGGTATTCACATTCTATCCTCATTAGTTTTATGGCTTTATGTGACATTAAGATCTTACTAATAGCTGGTAGAGCCTGTTCATAAAACAAAGGACTCATTATTTTTTTCTTGTTTTCTACACTACAATTAATACATGACTCCTCTGGTAGAAAGTAAAATTGAAGCTCTGTAAGATTTAACTTTTTGGCAATCACTTCAAAAAGTCTTTCTGTCTGTTTATTGATAGGCAGCTTAATGGGAATGCCTAACTGCTGTAGACTGCAGTTTTCCCTGAGGCCAGCTGTTAGAAAGAAAATAAATGAAGGAGGAATAGGAATATCAGGAGCATCATTAGTCAAACATGATGGTGTGACAATTTCAAAAAATTGAAGTGTACAGTTCAATTTCAGCATGTCCTGTAAACTATGCATACTATTACTAAATACTATCTCATCTTCTATTTGTATATTCAAGCCTTTCATTGTAGTATTAGATGTTAGAGTTGTGAAAAGTTTAGTAGCACTCTGTGCTGTGTCCAGAGGTATAGTAAGCTGCTGCAGATTAGGGTGAGATGTAAACAGCTGTTGTAAGTCTGGACAAGGCAGGGGTTCTGTCAGCTTAAATTTCTCAGGATAAGGCAACACCAAACAAAGTAGTCCCTTTGCATGTTCAAGAATTGTCAAAAGTTTAGTATTCAGCCTTCCTATTTCTAGAGCGGTCAGTGGTGGGTTAATATTTACTATATTCAGTGAGGAACAAAGACAATAATTGGGTATATCAAGTGAAATAGCTTGTAGTTTGCCATTTTCTGTGAATAATTTTTCCAATGCACTGCCAATTTGTTGTGCAGTAGAAGAATTAGGATGAGGGCAATCCACTTCCAACGTGAATGATCTCAGACTTTTGCTTCTTGTAACTCCTTTGATTATTGAAACAATAGTGGTAGCTACATCATAGTAGCCTTTATATGTGATTTTTAGTTCCTGCAAGCTTGACTTTGTTGCTATAGCTAGAATACAATGCTCTGAACTAGCTGTCTCTTCAATTGCAGGTTGATACATGGTTAAGTGCAATATCTTCAGTTGAGGAATTGAAAGCATTCGTAACAATGCAAAAGATGGTACATAGCTACCTTCCCACAGAACTAAGTAGAATGCTTGAACGTTATATGGACTAAACAAGCCTGGTATTAAATCTATTTCCAGACGTGTTAGATAGCGTGTCAAAAGTCCTACCTCTTTACAAAAAGTTTTTGCTCCTCTTTTTTCGAAACCCTCATAAAACCCAAAAAAAGCATATCCAAAAATATATCCTAAAGTGATACGTTCCCATGTAATGTCAGCATTATGAAGAAAGTCAAAAAAACATTTCACATCAAATAATGTTGAGCCCACCTCAAACATACACATGCTACGATTTATCGATTCTGTTACTATTTTGCACAGTTCAATATTTTTAGATTCATACAAGAGGTGCAAAAGAAGAACAGAAATATTGTCAGCATCAACTGACAATATTTCATCACATATGAACTTTTCACTTTTGATGTCTTGACTTGGGTTATAAAAAAAAGAAAATTGAGATTTTACTAATGCAAACCTTTTCCATTTTGAAGTTATGTCAAGTTTTGTGTCAAAAACCTCTTTATAACTATTACCTCGTAACTCTGTTAGGCCTGCCAAAAACCTCAAGCACATTTGGAAATGGCCATCATCAAATTTATTTTTAAATATATCCTCTGCGTTTTCATTATGAGCAATCCACCAGGCAGCTAGAAACTCTTGAATACTTAAGTGAAGAAATTGATACGTCTCCTTATAAAATTCTATGTGCACTGTCATCAATCCCAGATTTTCCTTTACTGCCTCATGTTCCCACTTACATAACTCACTTCCATTAAAAGTCATTTTTTTATTATCCAAGTTAGTGTAGGCAAATTGGCATAGCTTTTCAAAATGAGTGGAAAATTCTTCTGGTAAAGACAGTAAACTACCTATGTTAAATGGACTGATTTCAGAATTTCGCTTGATGTGTCGTTTGATAGTATGTAGAATAAATTCTTCATAGAGTTTTGTCAATGTTTCTGGTATCGATGGTTTGTTATTCTCATGTATGCTAACATGATAGACAAAAATGACCATAGAACAGACGAGTGGTACATAGCATAAAGACAAAACATCACTTCGAAATTTAAGCTCATTAATGAGTTTCACTGCTAGCTTTGACCCCTCTTCGTTATGAGTGCTTTCAAGGAGAACATCATCATGTGGTAAACGATGTACACTATCAATAAGTTCTTTTGCTAGGTCCTGATTACGTTGCAGAGTTTGTATAATTACTGTGAATATTTCATTTTTTGAAAACCCAATAACCTGAATGTGCCTATTGTTATCAATACTCATCAGGGAGTGTGAAGCATAGCTACGAGAGGTTACAATTACTGAGCAATCACGCAGTAGCTTTTTACGAATTATTTTAGCAGGAATTGAAGTCTTTCTGAGTTCGTCACTCAGTTCATCCCAACCATCAAAAATTATTAACAACCCTTTTCCGTCCATTTTCTTAATCCATTGGGTTACTTCCTCAACATCATTATGCTCATACTCAAACAGGTCAGCTAGTGTAGTAGCTTGAGCTATACTGCTATCTCTTAAAGGACAATGAAGGACTAAGTCATATTGTAGCTGTGAAAGTAATCCCTTAGACCACATATTTAACATTTTACGACAAAGGGTAGTTTTGCCAATACCAGGAGGACCATCAATTACTACTGTATTGGTACAATCAGGTAGTAGAACATCATCTATAGTTATTTCATTATATCCTGGAAGGTTTGGTATCTCATCAACCTCTCCTCTTAGTAAAAACCAAGATGATGACTTCTTGTCTCTTGTTTGTAAACTAAATTTTTCTTTCTTGACTAAAGCTAATCTTCCAAAATAGTCAGGACCAACTCTTCTTGGCCAGTCTTCTGCAACAATAGGTTGTTCCAAATATACCTTTCTTAATATATCAGCATAAACTCGAACACTCTCTGGTAAAAGTGTAGTGGGTGTCATTTCTTCGAGAGAAAAACCTAAAATGTAAATAAACAAATCTTATTAGATGTATTAGACTAGACAAAATTCTAAGACAACATGCAACAACATTTTGGGCTGAGCCTCTTTAAATGTTTAACATTCTTCTAGTTATGATTATAATAGTCTTGTCGCCCAGACCCTTGGGGCTAGGCGACGAGACTATGATTATAACTACACCGACATCATTTTAAAGGATTAAAATTACAATTACAAGCAAAATGAATGATTGTGATTCCTCAATTTTAAGTGTACGATTAGTTGATTGCACACATAATATTTATATAGGATTTTCTACCTTAACACTTTCCCAGATATCATCACTGAAATTTGTCTCATTAGTGCATTATATTTTACACAGCCAAGAATTTTACTTTGAATCATGACTGATATCAATCAGGATCAGCCTTGATACATTCTTGTATCACGGATTTTGGGCAGCCTGCAAAGCAATGAGTCTAGTATGATACAATCATGATAACCATCCATGATACAACCATGCTGGAGTACAGCCTTGGTTCAGCCAGAGCAACAGACATGATTCAACATTAATGTCAGTCGGGGCTGTATTAAAATAGACATCAGGCTTGAATCATTGATTTTGGGTAGTGGCCTGTATTAGAGATGATAATTCTTGGCTGTGTACTTAAGCAATTGGGCATGAATTAGTGTGATTATGATTATGATTACAATGAACTTTATGCAATGAACGGTCTAATTGACGTGCACGTCTCAAGTGGATGAAAATGGTAGATTTTCTGCGCTACAATATGGCTGAGAATTCAGTCAAGCTCATCATCAGTGGACAGCTATTGCATGGACTTTGTTTTGCTGCTATCCTTGCTCTATATTTTGTGGACTACCTCTCTCTATTTTTATATTGTTATTTTTCTTTTTAATTGATTATTTTTTCTATGTTTGAATTTTGATACCTGTCTGTTCAT